AACTACAAAAAAAGAAAGAGCCTCCCACCCCCCTCCCCGGTTTTAATCAAGAAGGGACAGCTGCACGTATGCAAATGACTATGAGCTGTGTGGTCCTGGGCAAGCCCTGTCCCTTCTGTACAAGGCGGGATGAGGCCAGATGATCTCTCTCAGAGACATTTGCAGTTTGCTGGGTCTATATGACTCCGTGAGAATGACACCATACCAATGAAGGGGCTCCTCCCTTTCCTGAGACTCTACTCCATTACAATCAAGTCTGATGACTGAAATGTAACTTGCTAACGAAAATTTTGATATGATCAAAATCTGGACTTACCTGGATCAGAAACATGGTGAACACAAGCGATCCATTTGTTTCCGAAGGGTTGGGAAGAGGCCAAATGTCAGAAATAGCAACACTGGGTCTGAAGTGCCAGGGTGAGGGCTCAGAACATGTGACAAGGGAGGTGAAGGGTCCAGCCGGTCCTCTACCCTCCACCAGCATTAGGTAAGACAAGATTTAGGAAACAGTTATAAATTAATGGCAACTCTTATTAATATCAACGTCTCACCATTATCCTGTGCTCAGGGCACAATCTCCAAAGGACTGGCCATCACCTTTAGAAGATAATTTAAATTCTAGTGTGTTCTTCGGGATCAATTTAGTCCCTGAAGTCATTTAAAGTTTGGAAAGTGAGTGGTACTCAGTTTGGAAACTTTGTATCCTTCTGGGATAACATCCCCAAGATCCAATTATGCTGAAGGCACTGGAGGAAGTTTGCTGCCTGCTTGCTTTCTCCCTCCCATCTCTCCTTCCTTCTTCTCTGTCTCCCTTCTTCCCTCTGACCCTCATAATCCTGTTAAGAGAGTCCAACAGCCTGCTGGGCAGTGATCCCAGCACTCAGCCTGACTCCCAAGTCTTTTCTCTTGTGCTGTGGCCAAGCCCCATCACCCTAAGTCTGCACTTATGCAGTGTTCCTAAAACCAGGCTCCTAAAACCCTGAGTGGAAGACTTTTTTTTTTTAAGATTTTATTTATTTATGAGAGAGAGACAAAGAGAGTGAGGGAGAGCACGTGAGCAGTGAGGAGGGGCAGAGGGAGAAGCAGGCTCCCCCTGAGGAGGAAGCCCCTGATGTGGGGCTCAGTCCCAGGACCCTGAGACCATGACCTGAGCCAAAGACAGACACCTAACTGACTGAGCCACCCAGGTTCCCCCTGAGTTGAAGACTTACACTTTCCCTCTAAATTTTCAACTCATTGGATTAGGCCCCTTGAAGCAACCTGCTGCGTTCTTCCTCAATCCTCACCTAGCATTCATTTAAAGCACTGTCTTTTCAGCTTCCTGTCATCTGTGCATGTGCTCTGAAACCTCTTGGAAGTCACTGATAGAATGTGGCCAAGAACAGGGGTGGGTCCAGAGAATGGGTACATTCTTTTATTCCGCCAACAATCACCGAGTGGGTACTGCACCTAAGGCGGAGATGTGCAGAGGAACCAGGGTCTCCGCCTTCTGGATTGCGCCCTCTAGTGGCAAGAGAGGAACATGAAAAGAAATGACCAAGGGAGGAAGGGCAGCAGGCGGGGAAAGAGAATGCCCAGGTTTTGGGAGAGCCCAGAGGGAGGCAGGGGTCAGACTTCCCCGGGGAGATGCCCCAAAGTCCATCATGTGCTGGAGCTGACTTACTATTGTGTACATTTCTTCCCAACTCCCATTCAGTGACTTTATTGGTTGCTTGAAATTGGCCAACCACTTACGCGGCAAGCGCTCAGTGGAGACACAAGTGTGTAATTTCTGAAGTCTGAATGCTGGATTATCTAAACAATATTTGCCTGATTCGCTGCTTCATTCCAGCAAGCCTCACTCACTGGATATACACATGTTCTCCTTCCCCTCAAATTGTTTCCATGCTTTATACCATGAAGCACTCGGGCCACAGGACTCAGCTGACTAGATCAGTGGACTCTTGTTCTAGGGGAGGTTAACGTGTGAGCTCTCTGGTGGCCTATACTAGATGATGACTAACCAAACCCTTTAGATCTGTCTCTCAGGAGCTTGAACTCAAACACCAGGATGTAGTCAGCAGCTGGTGTAAGGAAGGAAGGGGTGGAAGGAGAAACCACAGTAACACAGGCAGGTGGGCCTGAGAAGAAGCCAGAGCCACGGTAAGCTGAAGTCGAGTCAGAGGGAAGAAAGTAGGGGGCGATTAGTCTCAGCCGGAGTAAGGCCAGAGTGGCTGAGTCTCCCATGTGGTAGAGCCCTAGAGGTGGGGGACACAGAGCTTTGCCACAGAGGGACCAGCAGGAGCCCCTCAGATTGACATTGCAGTGCCTGTCCAACCACAAGGCCCACCTGCACTGCTGTGACCCCACAAACCCCATAACGTCCCCTTGGCCTGAGGAAACCAAGAGTGAAGGAGGGACAGGCTCCCAGCAGTTTGAGGGCAGAGGTCAAAGATGTTAGACATCATGAATACAAGGCTGGAGCCCAATGATGGAGGGTCCCTCCACCTGCTCACTTCCAAGTATCCCTCATATTTACCTCAAGGGATCTTGAGGAGCATTAGGTAAGACAAGATTTAGGAAACAGTTATAAATAAATGGCAACTCTTATTAATATCAACGTCTCACCATTATCTCAAATATAACAAATCCAATAGGCTATAACCTCCTCAACCATAGAAACTACTTCTTAGTCATATCTTTATTACTAGTAACCAATGAGCTGGGCACAAAAGAGGTACAAAAACTATATACTGAAATGTCAGAAAGAACGCTGCAGCCACCCTATCCCTACCAGTCCAGATAGGCTCATGTGTATATCCAGTGAGTGAGGTTTGCTGGAATGTCACCGGCCGGTTCCCCAGATCTGGAATTTTAGCCACTGTTGATTCTTCTCTCTCCAGCATCTCTCCCAGATCTACCTCTAAATCCTATCATTTCTTCCTCCCAAATGTCTCCCTGGGCCCCCATCTCCCCCGTCCCTTTATTTTCATCCTGGGGCCAGTTCTGTATATTCCTCCTGTGCACAGCCTTCTGGACATCTTTGTGGCCCTCTCAGTAATGCCTGCTCTCTGGATATTTCTGCTGTGCTGGCATCCTCTGAAGACAAAGACCCATTTCTGGACATCATGTCCCACATCTCTACTCTTTGGCACTTGGCACAAACTATGACATGTTCATAGCAGTTGTTCAGAGTGGTGGGCAGGTTGGTGAGAGAGACAGAGAGCGAGAGAATGAACGCCAGGTCACTGAGTGGAGGGGAGGAGGTGCCTGGCTGGCAGGGAATCTGTCTGGCTCAAAGTTCCTGGGAATACTTGAATCACTGAGGCCCAGCTCTTCTTCCTCCCGGGTTCTCTGAGGGCAATGACAGAGCCATCTTGGACCCATTATTGTGATCAAAACCCAGGGGAACTCTGATTAGCTGGCCAGAGGATGTTCTAAGCTGAGATTTCCTTGTAGTGAGAGGGCGGCATTGGGTAGACTTCACAACATTGTCTAATTGGGTCTATGCGAGTGAAGTCTTAAATTCTGAGCCTCTCACCAAACTTTAAATTGCTTCTGGGATAAGGCCTGGCCCCAAAGTACCCAGCCTTAATTCCTGAGAGGGGGGAATTAAGGGGCCCTCTGGAGAAAGTGTGGAGCAGAGAGAAGAGGGTGCTGGGCGCAGTATCTAGGCATGGCTTGCCAGCCCACCCGGGGGTACAGCCTCCTCTGGGCTGAGGCTCCTGGCTGAGTCTCAGCCTTGAGAGTCAGCTTTTGCCTCCTTGTCTCACTGAGCCCAAAGGTCAGGCAAAGGCACTGTGAGTAGCTGTAGCTTCTATGGGCTGTGACTTGTGGCTGCATTTTGGACCCCTCTATACCCAGGGTCATTTGGAGACACCAGGAAGTCAGACAATAGTTAACAATGTTAAGAATGTGTATTCATATGTTGCTGGAGCAGCTCTGAGAGATAAGGTCTGTAGGGCCCGCTTGGTTATGGCTTGGTAGCACCCAGATGGGCAGGTGAGACCAGAGACAGTCATTTCTCCTTGCTCCTGTCAACTTGCTCTCCTTGCTCACAGCCTCCCCACTCCAGGGGCCTCCCTTCCTGTGAGCCACAGACCCAGCCTAGATGTCTCCCCATGCTGGGTAAGTGCCAGGTGATGTCTATGGCCAGCTCTTCACCAGTTGGGAGGGAAGAAGAGAGGCAGATGCAGAGTGTTGTGCATGGTGGTGGTCGGGCTGTGGGGGGAGAACTGGGCTGGGGGACAAGACAACTATTTCTAAAGCTCTGAAGGCTACAGCTGTGGCCAGGGAGCAGGTCTGTTTGCATGAGCCCAGAGAATCCTTAGGGCCAGTGGAGGAAGGGAGAAGTTAGAAAAAGGGCAGATATCAACAGCCCAGCTTCCTGACAGCAATATTGGAGGCTGTGAGCCCTCATGTTGTTCAAATGTTGAAGCAGAGGCAGAGAAATCACTTCCTGAAGAGAGGATCACTGTAACAGGTGGGTTAGAGAAGGGGACTGGACTGGTTTAATATCTGAAGATTCAAATTCTGTACTCCCTGGTATTAAGGGAGCCTTTCTCTAAAAATGATTTCTATCCCTTAATCCCACATATCCCTAGAGAAGGTCTTTTAGCATTGTATCATTACCAATTAGAAAAAAGTACCCCTTCTTCGGGGCCACATGCAATTCACAAACCTCTCTCCAGACTTCAGTTCCTCCACCTTTAAACTAAGAGGTCAATGATTCCCAAGACTGGTGTGGGTCAGAAGTACATGAGGAGGAGCATTTCTTTAACAAGCAAGCAAACAAAAAACTAATCTCTATGATCATCTACAAATGTAGGACTCAGCAATCTGTATTTTTAACCGTCAGTCATGCTATTTTGGGCCTCCTGCTACAGGGCCCTGATGACATCTGGTGTTCCTAATATAGTTGGCAGTAAAATTGTGATGATCTACAGTGTGGCGTTGGATGTTCTGGAAAGCTGAGTAGATTTACATGTGACAATGTCTGCAAAGCATCTAAGTGGCACTGGATGGCATGTGACTCAAGGCCCCACTCAACCTACCCCGAGGATGTGAATTATGAATGGGTCCTGACCATCAGGTATGATTTTATTCCTTGGGCCTGAGTTCCAGAGAAGCAGAGGTGCAGACAGATCAGCTGTGGTTACAGGACGCAAGACATAAGGCCTGCGCTGCAGATCAGGTTTCCGGAGACTTTGGTGGGAGCTCCATGTGGTAGGCTCCAGAAATTCAATTTGGTCAGATTTTTCAGAGAAGAGAGCCAAGATCAGATAAACTGATTTGCACTCACTAAACTCACAAAATACTGAAGTGTAAACCAGATACTGTATAAGAAATAAAACTATTAAGGATATAAGTAACTTTATGTTTTCACACCAGTACATTCTCTTCCTATAAGACTCTCTGTCCAATTATAATAGAAACTTGCTGGGCAAGGAGGAACTAGATCCATAGGAATGGGCCATGACTGTCTGTGTTGGAAGTCCAATTATAATAGAAACTTGCTAGGAAAGGAGGAACTAGATCCATAGGAATGGGCCACATGACATCAAAGGGCAGTGTCACTGAGCTGTGCTAGCCTGAGGTCCCAGTTATATGACAGAGACTGAGTTACTCAGAGGCCCCCGCTTCCCTGTAAAATGCAGAAGACACACAGCATAGGCAGACATACAATTTCTGCCTTAGGTATATTAATATCATTGACTAGACAGAAATGTCTTTTATTTTATAAAGTTTCTTTAGATTTTCAGGTTCTGCATTTCATGCTTTTGACTGATACACAGGCTAACTTTAGATAACTTGGTCTTTTAGTTGAATCCCACAGGTTAAGTTTATTTACAGTTTTAGGGACATCATATTGTGATCCCCACGTATTGACTCAAGCAAGCCATCAAAAAACCAACATGTATTTCTGCCTTCAGTATTTTTAGGGATAAAGGAGAGTGTTTGAAACGGAAGCATCCAACCAATCTGCCATGACAGGATTTGTTTTGCTTGGCCTCTCTGCCCATCCGAAACTAGAGAAAACGTTCTTTGTGCTCATCCTCCTGATGTACCTGGTGATCCTGCTGGGCAACGGGCTCCTCATCGTGGTGACCCTCCTTGACTCCCGCCTGCACACGCCCATGTACTTCTTCCTGGGGAACCTCTCCTTCCTGGACATCTGCTACACAACCTCCTCAGTCCCTCTAGTCCTGGATGGCTTCCTCACTCCCAGGAAAACCATCTCCTTCACAGGTTGTGCCGTGCAGATGTTTCTCTCCTTTGCCATGGGAGCCACGGAGTGTGTGCTTCTGGGCATGATGGCATTTGATCGCTATGTGGCCATCTGTAACCCCCTTAGGTATCCTGTGGTCATAAGCAAGGCTGCCTACGTGCCCATGGCTGTCAGCTCCTGGGCGGCTGGTGGAGTTCACTCCCTGGTGCAGATCTCTCTTGCAGTACAATTACCCTTCTGTGGGGACAATGTCATCAACCACTTCACCTGTGAGATCCTGGCTGTCCTAAAGTTGGCCTGTGCTGACATCTCCATCAATGTGATCAGCATGGGGGTGGCCAATGTGATCTTCCTGGGAGTCCCAGTTCTGTTCATCTTTGTATCCTACATCTTCATCCTCACCACCATCCTGAAGATCCCCTCAGCTGAGGGGAGAAAAAAGGCCTTTTCCACCTGCTCTGCCCACCTTACTGTAGTGGTCATCTTCTACGGGACTATTCTTTTCATGTATGGGAAGCCCAAATCTAAGGACCCCCTGGGAGCAGACAAGCAGGACGTTTCAGACAAGCTCATCTCCCTCTTCTGTGGACTGCTGACTCCCATGCTCAACCCCATCATCTACAGCCTCAGAAACAAGGATGTTAAGACTGCTGTGAAGAACCTGGTGAGTCAGAAATACTTTGCCCAGTGAGAGTAGGAGGAAGCAGCCTATCTTGTGGTTCTGTGCACACAGATCCCCTAGGAAATGGCTACTTCATAAGCATAGACTTGTTCAATGGTCCTACACATCAGTTTCATCACAAAAGTGCCCAAACAATGCACATCAGTATGGGGCTTTCCTGAATGACTGACAATGGAACATCAAGTCTTTACAATGAAAAGGGGGTTGTGCTAAATCACCTAGAACGAGGATAAGTGACTGTTAAATTTTATTTTTATTATGAAAAAATAAGTAAAAATTAAAACTTTGAAAGAAAAACTTACTTTCCTTGTTCATGTACAGACCAGCTGCAGTTTGTATGTGCCATTATGTTGTTTTCTGCTCTACTGTGCAATAGGAAGGGAGGGTGGCAGTGAGGAAGAGTCACTTCTTAATTGGTGTCCAAACTGAAAAGCAACCTACCATTTGGGAAAATCACCAACACCAAGACATTTCACTCTGCAAGGCCCAGAGTGTTTTCTGTTTAATTATTTCCTGCTTAATATCCTAGAAACAATTTTGGGAAACTCCATCTTCTTTTACTGTACATAAAGCACATCTATTCGCTGGAATTCATATTTGCAACCAGCCAGACCCTAATGGTCAAACTCAGTTTCCTCTCTCTCTTCAGGATTTGGACTTGACACTGGCACCAATTGCTAAAAATCTACTTGCAAATACCCTTGTGGTTAAGAGCATGGACTTTGGAGCCTGACTGATGTGGAGGTGCCTCTACCTGTGTAATTTCAGGTACATTAAAAAAAAAGCTACTTAATCTTGTAGACTCTGAGTTTTCTAATTTGCAAAATGGAGATAATTAAGCCAACCCCATGGAGTTGTTGTGAGGATTAAATTAAAATAAAGCGCACACACACACACAAACACAAAATGCACAATGGCTAGCAAAGAATATCTTCCAAATTGATAAGTGAACATTATTATTATTATTATTATTATTATTGAACTATGTTAAATAACTCCTCTGTGGAAGCCTTATGACATTTGAAGACAGAATTCAATTCCACACTTAACCGAATCAATTCTAATTTATTATTATAGCACCTTTTTGTTTGGCTTTCTAGTTTATGAGCCAACAATCGCGTTTCTTTGGGCATTTTTCCCAGTCACCCCTCTTCCTTAACCACATAGGTAAGGTACTCACGTCTGTGCTGTGTGACACTGACCCTGCCTAAACCAATCAGATTCTTTCTGCAAGGTTTTGGGGATTGTTGTTAATAGCCAGGGAGTGAGTCCCTGGATCAATAACAGACAAACTTAGGAGTTTTGGGGTAATTGCGTTTGCCCACGTATACTGGAGTGGTAAAGAGAAACCAGGTCTGCAAAGAGAAAAGAAAAAACAGCCAAAGAGCAAAGATGATGAGGGTATCCTCATGTGTCCCCAGTTCTTGGTTTCCAATTTTCCCTAGGCCTGGCCCATATTCCTGCACTTTTGCTTCTAAAAGACACTCCTCTATCTTTATACTAGATTCTATTTTTCACGAATCTAGATTAAGTTACTTTCTTTGAAGGAGAGCAACAAAAGTTATATCAAATATAATTACCAACTTGTATAAAGTAGATATTCTCTATAGTGTGCCTTGTGCAAAAAGAGTGCCAGGCTATAATGCATGGCAGAAATCTTATAGAACTCAGTTTTAAAACAACTGTTGTTAGCTCCATATGTAATGCTAATGCTTCTTGTAATCAATTACTCCCTTTCTGCTACAGTGGCTTTTCCCTCTATGGATCCTATCACCTGTAAATTTGGAACACGGTCTAGGTTCAAATCCCTGCCCTCCCACATAGAGCTGAGAGACCAAGAGTGTATTCTCTGCTCTTGAAGAATTTCCAGTATATTGTTCCACACAATGAAGTGGGAGTACTAAATTTCAGGTGACGTCCACCTGTGAATTTCCTTGGATCTATGGTTCCATTCTCTGGTAGAGAGTGGGGTTTTCACCATCTGAAAACTCACAGAGGATCTGATTTAATGACTAGGGATCTTGCATAATATCTCTTTGGGCCAAGACTCACTTAGCAAAGTTCATATAGTTGTGAGATCATGATTATGGGATCCACTGATCCTTCCATATACTGCACCATCCAGAAGTAGCTAGCCCAAGAGAGTGACGTCACGGCCTTTTGAAAGCACAGCTAAGGCACCAGCTTAAAGAGAATGCCCTTCAAGAACGGGGGACCACCCTCCAGAACGCGGTATGAACCCTAAATCAGTGACTGTTTTATGGTACTCTGTTCCCAACAGGCAAAATACACGGTCCAGGAATCAAGGATGGTGGCAAGAATAGCCCTGGTTACATCACCTCCAGTTACCTACTGGGGGAATTTGTGCTTTCAGTCACTGTAACTCTAGGCTTTACTGGTCTATGGATCCTAGCTCCTAAAGGAGGGTTGCTTCCACCAGGGGACACAGAAAGAGCCTCATTAAACATTTGTAGCACTTAATTGAGCTATAACTTATATCCATAACATTCACTTATTGTAAGGTACAGTTCAATGATTTTTTTGATAAATCTATACAGTTGTGCAATTATCACTACAAACCAATTTTAGAACATTTATATCATTTCAAAAAGTTCTCTCATGCCCATGTGCAGTCAATCCCCAGCTCCAGCCCCAGGTACCGACTAATCACCCCATTTCTAGAAAGATTTGCCTTCTCTAGAAATTTAGATAAGTGGAACCATACAATATGTAGACTTTTGTGTCTGGCATCTTTCATTTAGCACGTTTTTGAGACTCATCCAGTTATAACACGCCTCAGTACTCTCCTTTTTGTTACAAACAAGTATATGGATCTACCACATCATGTTTATCTATTCATTGATGGGACATTTGGATTTTTCCACTTTTAGGCTATCATGAACAATGCTACTGTGAACATCCAAGTAACACAACTTTGTCTGGAATCGTGGGTCATATGGTACAAATGTGTTTAACTCTAAGAAACTGCTAAACTATTTTCCAAAGTGGCTGTATCATTTTAAATTACCACAAACACTGTATGACATCTCCAGGTTCTCTACATCCTTACCAACACTTGGTGTTAAAAGTCTCTTCAATGTAGCTCTTGTAGTGGATGCGTAGTAGTATCTCAGTGTAGTTTTAATTTGCATTTCCCTGATGGCTGCTAATGCTGAGCATCTTTTCGTGTGCTTATTAGTCATTCACATACCTTTTTGGTGAAGATATTTTAAACTGTGCTGTTTGTCTTTTTATTATTGAGTCATATGTAGGAGTTTTATTTTTTTTAAAGATTTGTTTGAACGAGAGAGAGCATGGGTGGGGGAGGGGTAGAGGGAGAGGGAGAGAGAGAATCCTCAAGCAGACTCCCCACTTAGCATGGAGCCTGACACGGGGCTCAATCCCAGGACTCTGAGATCATGACCTGAGCTGAAATCAAGATTGGTCATTTAACCAGCTGAGCCACCCAGGCACCTCTAGTCATATGTATGAGTTTTTTATGTAACCTGGACATAAGTCCTTTATCATATATATAATTTGCAAATATTTTCAATCTTTTTTGTCTTTTCATTTTTATGGTGTCATTTAAAAAACAAAAGTTCTTAATTTTGTAGTACGAAAATCAATTTTTAAAAATAAATTTTCATGTCTTATTTAAGAAATCTTTACTTAACCCAAGGTCACAAAGATTTTCTCTCATGTTTTCTTCTAGAAGTTGTATAGTTTTAAGTTTTACATTTAGGTCTGTGATCCATTTTGAGTTAACTTTTTGTATGGTGTGAAATAAGTGTCTTATTTATTTTTTACATATGAATATCCAATTGTTTCAGACAATTTGCTGAAAAGACTATCTCCCCACCCACCCCCACCATTGGATTGCCTTGGCACCTTTGTTGAAAGGCAATTGACCATAAATGTAAGGACTTATTTCTGTAAGGACTTTCTATTATGTTATATCTACTAAACTTAAAGCTGTGGCTATGCCTCAGACATGTTGAACTTCTTATGACAAGAGACCAGGAGGCAAAGGAAGGAGTTACTATCCTAATTATGTATAACTGATCCTAGTCATCAGGAGGAGATAGGGCTGCTTTTACACAATGAGGGCTGCTATGTACTAAATGTCTGTGTCCCACTAAAATTCATATGTTGAATTCCTCAGAGTCTATTACTTGGGAAACTCAACCTATCACTACTATGTATCCAACAGTAGGGTCATATTTCAGAGATTCAGAATCAGGTTGTCCTGCTTTCAAGAGAGCTATCATTTCAGTCCAGAAGTTATTCTATTGTAAGCACAACACAGCTATGGAGATAGAAGACAAAATTTCACAGAAAAATAAAATAAAATAAATGTGGCATTGCATGGAGCAAAAGCATTGTATATTTTCCATTTAGAGGGTCTAGGGAAGCATCAGGTTTAAGAATGATGCAGAAAGCCAAGCAACTGATAGTACAACAGAAGATCAGTTGTGTGGTTGTGGCCAATTGGGGATAGTACTCACATTAGGAGCAAACAAAACTATGCAAGTTGACTGAAGATGATCATGGTCTGGTGGATTACAAGAAGTGATGGACATCATCAAATAGGGATCCTCATATGTCTAATATTTGCACTGTGTTACTACAGAATGTCAGTTAATTACTGAGGACAGTGCTTCCTAAACTTTAATGTTTGAATGAATCATGTGGGGATTTTGTCAAAATGCAGATTATAGTTCAGTAAATCTGGAGTGGGACTAGAGATTCTGCAGTTCTAACACGATCTCAAGTGATGTCACTACTGGTCTTAGACTACACCTTGAACAGCAAGTACCTAGAATATTCTGGCAGAAGTAGTCTGTCACTGAGATTGATTTATTAATTTGTTTTCCTGATTTATATATTCTTGTTTGAGTAATAATTTTGAGACAGCTAAAAGATTCAGATGTATATAGTAATCTCTAGAGCAATCACTAGAAAAATAAGGCAAAGAGATACAGGCAAAAAGCCAATAGATAAATTAAAAT